TCCATTTGTGAGTTCAGCAGTGGGAGTCGCTAAGACTCACCTAAACAGTAGACATATTTCATTTGTCTGCTTTGTGTATTTTTAAAAATGTATGTATTTAAGATGTACTATCTGATAATTTTATATTGATACTTGAATATATATAGTAAAATAATCACCACAATTAAAACACACTAATATATGGTTTCCCTCTAGTTATGAGTTATAGAAAGCTAATTTCACATGATCTTCTCAGTCTTTCTTTTCTCATTTCCCCAAGAACTGTGTGTCCTGCAGGGTCAGCCATCAGGAGAGCTCCCTCATCCCGTCCACGGCTGCCCGGTGCTCCACTGTGGGGATGCACAGGGAGGCCTTCAGTCTTTCTTTGATTGAGATCGCATTGATTCAGGTCACCATGGGTGTTACAAATAATAATTCTGCAAGCAGTAGCTTTGTATTTACACAAGACCTGTTCTTAATGTTTATAGTCACTTGGAATAATGGTTTTTGGGAGAAAATGCATTTTCTGGATGCAATGAGAATAACCAATTATCTTTTTCAGTCTTTGATTTTCTCTAATTCAAAGAAAAGCAAACTGCAACATCTCCTCCCAATGGACGGATTGGTGTCTGTTAACTTAAACTGGGGCATCACCTTTCTCATTCAGATGGGCGCTGGAATCCTTGGAAATTCTTTACTCCTTTGCTTTTATAACTTTACTATTATCACCGCACAGATACTGAAACCCAGAGACTTGATCCTCAACCAGCTGGTCTTAGCTAACAACTTGGTTCTTTGCTCTAAAGGGGTCCCTCAGACAATGGCAGCTTTGGGATTGGAAGCTTTCCTGGACTGGGCTGGATGTAAACTTGTCTCCTATTTACACAGAGTGGCCAGAGGGGTTTCCCTCAGCACCACCTGCCTCCTCAGTGGCTTTCAGGCCATTAAGCTTTGTCCCAGCATCTCTAGGTGGATGGAAGTCCAAATTAGATCCCCAAAGAGCATCCTTCTCTGCTGTTTCCTCTGCTGGGTCTTGCATCTTGTGGTAAATATCTATATGGTAAGGTACATAACTGGCCCAGTGAATAGCAAAAACCTGAGTATGGAAAAAATTTATAGATACTGTCCCCCACCCAATCCAGGGAACTTGCTATTCTCAGTAATGGCAGTCATTTATACCTTCACGGATGGCATGTGTTTGGCCCTCATGGTCTGGACCAGCGGCTCCATGGTCCTCGTTCTGCACAGGCACAAGCAGAGAGTCCAACACATCCGCAGCAGCAGCCTCTCCCCCAGAACTTCCCATGAAACCAGAGCCACACACACTATCCTCATCCTGGTGAGCATGTTTGTCTCCTTTCATGCTCTAGCTTCCATTTTGTCATATTGGATTACGCAGCTGCAGAACCCAAGCCAGTGGCTGAGGAGCATCTCTGTTCTGGTGGCTTCAGGCTTTGTGACATTCAGCCCCTTTGTGTTCATTGTCAGTGACACCCGAGTGTCACAGTTCTTTGCCTGCTGGAAAAAGAAGACAAATGCTCCAAGAATGTTTTCTGGGCTATAAGTTCCCTCCAGAACACTGTATCATTTATTTAGCCACTTCTCTTTCCTCGTATTCATATGCCCACATACGCCAGTTAAGTGCAAGATCGTTGGAATTCAGTATTGTATAAAACTGATAATAACCATGGCCTCGTATTGCTTACTAAACTGTCAGAAATGAATATAGTGCAAATAATTACCCAAATGTGGTCCTCCAAAAATTAAACATTTAATTACCATATGAGCCAGCAATTTTACCTCTGTGTATATATCCCAGAGCGATCATAGCAGGGACTTGAACAGGTATTCACACGCCCGTGTTCATGCCAGCATTATTCACAATTACCAAAAAGTATAAACTACCCACATGTCCATTGATGGATGAATGGATATACAAGTGGTGGTATAGACATATGATGGTGTGCTATTCAGTCTTTAAATGGAATGAAATTATGATTGACACATTCAATGCATGGATGAAACTTGACGTTATGTGAAATAAACCAGTCATTAAATGACAAATACTGTATGATACTTATATGAGCTATCTAGAATGGTTAAACTCATAGAAACAATAATTAGAATATTGGTTACCAAGGGTTGGGGGTGGGAAAATGGGGAGTTGTTGTTTAATGGGTACAGAGTTTTAATTGGGGAAGATGAAAAAGTTTTGGACATGGGTGGTGGTGATGACTGCACACCAGTGTGAATATACTTCACACGCCTGAGCTGCACACTTCAAAACAGACCCAACTACACTCACTGGGCTGTTTCCAGAGACCCAGCTGCAGTCACCCAGCTGATTTCCTGAACAGTGTTGCAGTCCCCCAGCTGGTCCCAGATGTCTCCTGTGAATCTTCATCTTCCCCAGAGACTCTGCTGCAATTATCTGCTCAGCTGACCCTAAACACCTCCCTAGAGTTCAGTTGCTGACCTTGAGATGAAGATGTCCAGCAGGTGGAAGGTGGTGATGGCTGCACAACAATGTGAATATAATTCACAGTACTGAACTGCACCCTTTACAATAGTTAAGATGTTAAATTTTATGTTATTTCCTATCATAATTTAAGAGAGAGTGAGAAAGCTAAAAACACACAGAAAAGGAAGTAACAAATGAGCTAAATTCCACTATGTTAGCCAAGAAAGAACTTTAAGAAACATGATCACTTATCTTTCCCTCTCTCTCTCTCTCTCTCTTCCCTTCTCCCCCCAGTCTTATCTCCTCTTTCATTTTCTCAAAAAAGTTAATTCTGGGGAGTGCATATTTTGAGAATTGTGAAGATTTGAGATTTTATTCTACTTGGAAGCTAACAAGTTAGCTATCCTGCCATTGTTTCATGAATGCTGGCAAAAGATGTGAGACTTCTGGGTCAGAAACAAAGGATAGTTTCTTACTCACAGCAATAGAGGCCAGAATATTAGCATTTGTACCAGCTTCCACACCCCAATTTTCATAGGAACACGTGAACAGGGCTAAGTGACAACTGCGTGTGCACAGGGCTGTGCTGCAGCACAGAGTCCTAGCGTTTGGGGAACCCAAGTATTTTACAGGAGAGAGTAGCATGCTGCCCTTTGCACCACAGGGAGACACTATCTCTACCTTACAAGGCTCTTCACTATACAAACCCCTTTGAAAAGATCATCTGGAATAAAAGTAGTTAGTACCTCTGCTCACTAGATGTGCAGAAATGTGAGATCCATAAAGAACTGTCTCCCAACAGGGGAATAGAATATGGTTTGATTAAGATTTTAATATTTATTTGGGGATCTTGAAGTTTCAAACTCACAACACCAGCCCAAGCTGTCATTAAAAGCTTGGCTGGGCTTCTCGTCCATGCATGGTCACTGCACCTATATCAGATGGGCTCCTTTGCCTACCTGTACCCAACTACGTGCTTATTCACACACAAAAGCAGATGCAAACTTTGGATAACCTACAAAGAGCTTCTTATTCTCTGGAATTTAGTTCATGAAAGCTTATTGATACTCAGTGTTTTTTATAGCTATAAAAAAATATGGTTTTAATCCATCTAGTGTTTTCCTTCCATTACTGTGGAACTGACTGTCTTTTGTGTTACAAAAAAGATGCAACAGTTGGATAGTTTCTGAGTCTACAATTCCGACCAAC